TAGGTTAAATAGAATAATTGCTATAATTGTGCCATTCTCATGGTATGGGAAAGTTATAGAGCATGTTGTATTTTCAAAAATAAGTAATCATGTTAAGAAAATGACAGGTCTCAATAATGAGTATCCTATGGCCAACACTTTCAGCTGGTTTATGTATGTATGTAGTTAATAACAGATGAACTTTGAGAAAAATAAAAATGGGGATGGAAGGAGGGAGATAAACAGAGTAATAGAGGGTATGAATATGGCCAAAGTGTATGTTTATATGAAAGTATCTCAATGAAAGCACCTACATTATGCAGTTAATATGTGCTAATAAAATGTGGGCAAAAGAGATATCAAATGTGAATTAAGCAACATTAATTGTTCATTGTACAATGTCCTATCCTGATCAAACACAGGTCCTAGAAATTTAAGAGTAAAGGAAGAAGTGCTATATTCTGGGGTATTGTTTCTTTAAAATGCTACCATGTACCAAACAAAAAGTTGCCTACCACATGTGGACTTCAGAAAAAAAGTTTCCCTTCTGGAAATCATAGTTTTATATATAAGAAAAAAAGTGAGCACCTTATGTTTTAAATATACAATCTCAGAATAATATACAATGGGGAGCAATGTTAGTGTTTTAAGAACTCACATGTGAACTGGGTTTTGCAAGCTGCATATTAGTTTACCTGCTCTAGCAGTGATACTAAATTACAGACCTGGAAATCACCACAGTAAGAGAACAGAGCTCTGTCAACTTTATGATGTTCTAAGTCCTGGAAAGTACTTGACACCTGGAAGGTTTTCAGCATATCACTTTTGGCTGTTCATCATCTGAGGAAAAAACTGATTATCTTCTGAGATGCATTCAAAACCTCATTTGGGCATATCTTTAATATTTATACTAGTTTTGTGGCATATTTAATATAGCAATCCCTTCTCTTAACTTTCTCTTACTAAGATACTTGTTCCCTGTAACTTGTAAATTGTTTGAGGTAGACGACAGTAATTTTGCTGATCATCTTTGTTGTTCTTTTTTTTTTATGTGCCTCGAAATTACAAGAAATAGCAGATTAAACCCATGAAATACCGAAGAATTAGAGTTTGGGTTTGCTATTCTACTGAATATATATATTATCAAATATATTATCAAATATATATCAAATATATTATCAAAATTTTGTAATCTCAGAATTGAAAATGTTAAGCATGCCATTGAGGTGCTTCTGTATAGATTGAGTTGAAGAGTGACATTTGTTAGTACTATGATATCTCTGCAGAATCAAATAAGGTCAGGATGAAATTTTTCTAGACTTTCTAGGCAAAATTTACCTGTCTATGGAGTCTCAGTGGATATCTATATCTATATCTATATCTATATATCTGTATGTATGCATGTATATATACCACTGGAGTCACTCCACTAGTCCTGGGATTTTAATTATTGTTAAAAATGAAGTTTGTTCATTACTTATATCAACAAACTAATATTATCAATAAATTATTAAATCTTATCTTCGTTAATTACAGCATATTGAAGTGTCAAAATTTTTATTACTTTTTATGATTGTCTTACTACCATTCTCTTTCATCCACAGTAAATATATTTCAAAGTACCGGCAGTATATAAGACACAGAAAAAATATGAAATTGCTTTGATTTTAATGCTAAATTGATTTAATGCATACAGATATATAGCTTCTATATAATTGTGTTGCGTGTGTACATACATAGTTGACAATTTGATAGCATTTCCATTAAAACTGTCTTCTTTTTTTTCTGTTTTTGCTTCGTTTTAGTTTTCAGTATTTCTACTTTAAAAGTAGTTGGGCCAGATAATATAACACACTGTAGATATAATTTTTAAATTGTCTTATTTACATCTCTTTTCTTTCTGTTAGCTATGATATACATATTCATTGTTACAGTATATATTGCAAAAATCATGTTGTCAGTATCTTTGGGATTTGACTACAAACGTGTTTCACTATGTTTATACTTGAGTACGCTGTTCATTGGATATAAGAAAAGCAAACTTTCAAAAGGTACTATGTATTTGTCTCATCCCTATACTACTTGTAATGGTATATATTTGCAAAGATGACTATAACAGTGGAAGAACTCTAAGCGCAGAGTCTTAATTTGGTAGAACTTAACTTTTGTTGGCTTTTCTTTTTCTTTTTGATGATAGGCCTAGTTGTTTCATAGTTACATAAAACTTTGCCTGTCATCTGCAAATCACATGTGTTTGGTGGCAAATCTCATTACTTTTTGAGGTGAATATTTTGGGAGCAGCAATTTTAACTTAAAAGGCAATTTACAATTCTTTTGCCACAAATAGAGTCTAGACTTTCAGTCTTTAAATTATGCTCAATTATAGTCTAATGAAATTATGAATTATAAAGGAAAAAGATGTAAACATGAACTTAAGTATACCATTTAGCAATGAGCTTTTTTGGCTGAATATAAAAATAGAGTTCAGATCTTCTGGGAGCCCTGCAGTTTTCTAGTTTGTATGTGACCATAGACTGCTATATTTATAAAGAGTGTCTTGGGTTTAAGGCATGTGTTTTGAGACACAATTAGGCAAATACTAAATATTAATAAATCTGTTTGGAAAAAATAACTCATTAAAATACTAGTCTCCACAGTGAGTTACTGAAATACATAGCTCTGCAGTGTCTAGATTATTGGATGAAAACTTAGAGAATGGGAAGAGAAACATTTGAAAATAGTTAATGATCATCATTTTCTTAATAAAATTTGTCAAGATGGGGAGAACTCATCCACCTTGATAGATCCCTCTGTGATTTTAGGACATATACTGGTGCTAAATTGTGTGTAAAACATAACAATTTGATTTTTTTTTTTTGTATGTATGTGTTGCTTGGACAGAACCCAGTGCCTTGTGCATTGTAGGCAAGTGGCCTACAGCAGAACTACACCCAAACACTGGTTATTTCATATTATTCACTGTAGCCAACAGTGATATCAAATATGAGCATTCAGGAAGAGAAAGCATTTCTGTATATAGATTGGTAACTGTTGAAGAATAGCTTAGGCATTATGAAGAAAGGTGACATTAAATAATTGAAAAGTCTCAAATATAGAGATTGTTAGATTATTATTTTGGATAGTTTAAGGTTAAAATCTTGATAATATTCTAGTTCAGTCCTCTTTATTTTGTCTCTTTTAAGTTCTAGAAGTTTCTCAGTGCAATATTCTTCAGTTGCATTTTCTTAATGTGAAATACTGTTAACATTTCAATTAACACAAACACTAAAGGAAAATATACTGTAATTACTGCTCAAGATCAGGGGCAAAAAAGAAATACCTGCAAGTCAAGCAACTTTGTGTGTACAAGCAAGTGCATTAGTTTTTTAGTGTTACATAAGAAATTATCAAAAATAGTAGCTTAAAACATCCTTCACTAATTCTCAATGTCTGCAAGTAGGAAGTGCAGGTCTTGTGTGATACATACCAAGTCTGCATTGCAGTTTCATGGGACATACCCCGGAGTGAATAAAATGAAATTCACCCTATTTCTGTAAATACCTATGCCCTTGTAAGAGATTGGATGCTGGAAGTGGGGCAAATGAATGCTACTTATAAAGTAATGATGTTCTCATGTCTCTGTAATCTTACTGAAAGCAGGACATTCAGTGCCGTGCAGCTTCTCTGTAAATCAGGAACACTTAGGAGGAGTTGCCATGGTTGAAACTGTTCTGATGTTACGAAGATATGAAGGTTGTGCCAAAATATTAAGTGTCAGATATTTTGCCATGTACCTGCCTGCACGTGATTATGCTTGAAAATTTTCATTGTTTTAGTATAAATTTAAAAATTGATGGTTTAAGAGTTTATTTTATTGGAATTTAACCTGTTTAAATCGATTTTCATGGTCTAAAAACTGTAACTGTCTATATTAGGTTTTTTGACTGGGAAAGTGCTCATTTTATAAATGTCAACTATGAATGTCCTGTCATCATTTACTCTAACTAGGTAGATATAAGGACATGTTTCCACAGCAATACCCATTCTCCCTTCCCTCATTTCTTTCCCCAACATTCTATTCACAAGAAAGGGAGATATTAACAACATGTTTTAGCAATATGCAAATATATTTCACAGATTTAAAAATCTTCCATTCCTAATACACTTGGGAGATGTTTTGTACTATACTCTTCCCTTGGAAATTCAAAATTCATGTTAGCATATTAAGAGACTAAGACTTCTTCAAAGATTTCTTATATTTTAATGACTTCATATAATACTAATTACTTTCCTTACAACAAGAAATTAAGACCATTACTTTGATCTCATTTTACTTTTCAAAGTCATGTAAGATTTGAGGTCATTCAGTAATTCCAGTTCATGGGAAACTTTGAGCTTGTATTGGATACAGTTCAATACAAAATTGAATTGTGTGCCCAAATAGTAAGCTGTTATTACGATCATCTTGCTGGCTCAGTTTCTAAAGCATTAAGAATAAAGAGCAGACAGAAAGCTATGAATAGTATGTGGTATGGTATGCTGATTACCATTTCAAAGATCAATGAGAAAAGTTGATAATTTCCTCATGGATCACTTCGGGTCTGCTTTTATTCTCATTTCTTTTTCTTCAACTATCTCATATAAAATTAATGAAAACCTTCATATAATTAACTCATTGTAGCTGTGCACTTACTTTACAGTTAAGAAACTTTAAACATTTTAAAAAAATAGAATTGTAACAAATTTATTAGGACTCCAAAAAAGTTGATAATTGACATTTCAGTCAGTTTACTTAAAAGGATCATTTTTCTGCATTTTTTCAAGTTTAAATACTTGAAAGAGGTTTTTATTCAATAATCTTTTTTTCTGGATAAAATTGAAGAGTTGTACTTACTTATAGTGTAAGGCATATTCAACACTTGTTGGGATAAAATATGAATAATAAGAACCACTTGTTCTGAACCTGTAATTTTTGAGATGTCTGTTCTAAATATCTGTCTGTGTCTATGTTTTTGCTTTAGGAGTGCAAGATCCCCAGCATGAAAGAGTTATTACTGTGTCTACAAATGGGAGTATTCACAGCCCAAGGTTTCCTCATGCTTACCCAAGAAATATGGTCTTGGTGTGGAGACTAGTGGCTGTAGAGGAAAATGTGTGGATACAACTTACATTTGATGAAAGATTTGGGCTGGAAGACCCAGAAGATGACATATGCAAGTAAGTTGGCATACTTTGAATTCCAAGGGAAAAAAACAATCGTTGTCTTTTAAGTTGCTTCATTGATATGATTGAGTTTAAAAGACATCTTTTGTTTGGTTTTTTTTCTGATAGTTCAAGAAATTTATGACCTTATTCATGTGCTATTTCACTTAAATCTTACTTTAAAAGCAGAAGTCACATTCTTATACATATAATCATTATTTTCTGTTTATTTCTAAAATAATTTGAGATAATTTTTGGTAAAAAGTATTTAGAGTAAAACCATGTAAAATAAGAAATGGAGAATAAAACACTATGTAAAGTAATGTAGCTGTGGCAGAAAACCTAAATTGCCACTAGTCCTAAAAATTTTGTCCTTCAGCTTCCTGCCAACCAAATCAATAAGATAAAAAAATAAGCTGGTGAAAAAAGTGTATCCACAGTTATGTGTATTACCTAGGGATAGTTATTGATAGTTATCCACTCAGTAAGGACAAAGAGGTTGGAGTATTTCATCATAAAGGAACAATTCAGTGCTGAAAGCAGAATCTGAAATTTAGGCTGACATTATGCCTTGCCAGGAGGGAATTGACCAGAATTCTCCTAACAGCATTCATGAACCACAGTCAGCTGGAATATTTCACCCACGCACAAGACCACCTACTGTATGTCATCCAAATATTACTCTTTAAATCCCCTGTGAATACACTTGTCAAGGTTGGGTGGTCTTATTGAAGAGTTTTCACTTCAGTAGCATTTGTGTATCATGAAAGTATTTTACTTGAATTTCTTTGCAGGATTCTTTATTTTTTCTTTGATATACTATTTAAAAAGGGAATTTTCATTTTATCATATATTATAGATATTCAGTACAGATGAAATAAACTTTGTACTTGCTGTCATCACAGTTTTTATCTTTAGTATTACTTGTATACTTTTTCTCACATTTCTTTCTGTGACATTACATTCCATGTTGTGTTTTTCTTTATATCTATGGTTTCAAAGCTGCAGAAATAGGAGCTATACTAACTCTCTTTATACACTATGTTATTCAATCCTTCATTCTATAGATAAGGAAACAGACCAGACATGTACAGTAGATATCATTCATAAATTATACCTAAACAAATGCTGACACACATTTTTTCCTAGCACCTATTTAATTACTTGTTAACCATACTGTACCGTAGCTCTTATCTTCTTTCCATAAATAAAATTTCCTTCTTTAATGAAAAATTATAAAGAGTATAAGCTTTTGTTCTAATTGCAAAGCAGCAATTAGTGTACCAGAGTTGTGATATTGATAGGATACAGGAGACTCCTGGGTCAAAATAAGAGTTTCATTACAACAATAGTAGTATCTAGAATGTTAGCATTTTCTTGCACTTTTTCCCCAAGTTCCTGCAGATCAGTAGCAAGATGGCCCATGTGACAGCTGATACCTAATGGTTTATGTTGCAGAGGAAGGAGCATAATATGTGAATTTGTAGGAATACATGTGTACATATTCAAGCATGCATAATATATATTATTAGCTAAAGGTAAAAATTAAACTTTCATCCTGTGTGGCATAATCAGCATGTGACACAGCTCTACCCAGCATTTTACTCAACTTTAGGAAAGTGACCCTTCCAAAAGCTTTGAAATCCTATGCCCGTGTCCCCCTTAATTGTTCCTCCTTGTCCCTGAAAATACAATTATTGTACTCAATTTTTTATTTATTCTCTTGACTATATCTTTCATTATATTTTTCATTATACATGTATTTCTCTAATAGTGTCCTATGGAAAATAGTTTATTTTGCCCGTTTTGAAATATGTATCAGTGGACTAGTACTAGGTATTCTTTTGTGATTTGATGTCCATTTCAAACAAGCAAAATCTTCACAATGTTATGTTTTTTAAAGTAGTTCATGCTGAATTGGGCATGCCCTCAACATGTCTAGTTTTTATTTGTCTGTTTTACTCTTCAGTTTTGCCTTTCATATTTAAGTCCTTGATTCACTGGAATTTGTTTGTGTCTGTGGTTGTGAGGCTTTTCATTAGTGTATCCAGTAGTGTCTTGTGATCATTTATTAAATACTCATTCTTTCCTCAAGGATGTTCCAAGTTAGCTAACTTTCAGATTGTGTTTCTGGTTGTGTTTGGATCTGTTACTGTACTGTTTTGTTCTTTTGGTCATTTTTTTCTGTCTTAATTGAATGACACTGTCTTAATGACTTGTTTAGTTAAGGAAGTCTCACTTCACCTTTGGAAACATCTTGACCTATTTTGCCTTATAGTATATTCCTTAGAATTAGACTGTAAAGTTCCTTGAAAACTGTCACAATTTTTAATACAATAGCATTGAATGTATAAATCATGGCAAAGAAAACTGATATTATTATATAATAGTGAATCTTCTTACCTTTGAAAACTTGTATTTCTCCACTTTTTGAGGTCCTCTTTTACCTCCATATGGTTTTAAAGTTTCTTTACAAAGACGTTATACATATATTATTTAGATTTATTTCTAGGTTCCTTATAGATTATTGCTAAACATCTATGCTTCAAAAGTGCATTTTGTAATTATATATTGCTAACATATAGAAAAGCAATCATTTTTAGGTTATTCTTTTATCTGCCAAACTTGTTCATCTCTTTTATCTATTTTAATAATTGTCCTGAGAGTTAGTTTGAATTTATGCAGAGAATCTTATGGTTTGTGAAATAATTTTGGATTTGCAGAATATTGCAAGGACTATGCTCAAAGCTCCATATGCTGGTAACCATTCCACTCTGATATTGTTTAATACAGTGATGAGAGTACCACCTCAACAGATTTAATAGTGTACAAGAGGAAGACAGGGAAAATAGGTTTTGTTCATCTGAGATAGGATTAAGATGGGACTTCCACTGTGTGTACTTGGTTAGGATTGAGTAAAGATTTCAATACAGTAGTTTAGAGTTGGTGAAAACAGAAAAGTAAAGCTATGAGGCCTGGAGTCCGGCAGGGTCAGTCACCTGCTGATGACTCAACTGAAGAACCGAATGGCTCTTATGGCAAGTTCCTAGAGTGAACAGTGAAGATATTTTCCCTAATTGAGAGTCTCCTGAAGTCATTGCAGAAGTTAAGTCATGTCATTGTGAACACTGAGCAGGATGGGGCTAGTGGCTCCTGTCCTCACTGGGCAGACCCATGTTGGAGTTACTTGGCATTGGATATGTGTGTGCATTGGGGATTGAACTCGGGGCCTTCTGCTTGTTAGGCAGGCGCTCTATGCTTGAGCCACATCCACAGCCCTCATTGCTTTAGTTATTGTTTAGACAAGGTCTTCTACTCTTGCCCTGGCTGGCCTGGGACCATGCTCCTCTTGCTTCCACTTCCTGAGTAATGGGGATTACAGGTGAGTACTGTCACAGCCAATTACTTTCGTATTTTTTTAACTCCAGAAAATTTTATATTGCGTCTTATTGTATGTGACCCATGTTTTTCTGGTACTAACCATTTTTTCTTTATTTTTTTTTTATATTACTGAATCTTTTTGTAGGATTATGTTATTTCTATACATATGGTCTTTTTAAAAAAGTTTCTTAAGTGAAAGTCGATTGGTAGTCAATACTCAGCACTGTATATCTGTAAACGTGTTTATTTCACCTTCATGTTTAGAAGTTAGTTGTATTGAATATAGAGTTATGTTTTGTGTTTTTTTCCAGTCTCTTCAAGGTGCCATTTTACTGTCCTATGACTTGGGAATCTGTCTGATGGCATATCTCTGTGGTTCCTGCCCCATGGCCCATCTTCAGGGATGTGTGTGGGTGGCAGGGGCAAAAGGGAAGGGACAGGTTTGTATCATACCCCAGGCTTCCCTGTTTTTCCAGTGATTCCTTAAATGTCCTGTTGGACATCATCGGCTCAGCAGATGCCCCAGGACTCCAGAGTCCTTACAGAAATCTGACTTGCTGTGCTTATTTGCCCTGCAGAAAATTCTCTGACTTTCCTGACAGCTCAGGATTGCATTAAAGGCAGTAGTTTTCTTTTGTTGATCTAGCAGTTTTGGTGGTAACATAGAGAGGAGTACTTTCTGCTTTACTTTGTCTGCCATGTGGTTGGAATGTAGACAGTTGTCCAGCAAAGTGAAGGTTTCCTGATAGGGGCCTGGTACTGTTAAGTTCGAGTTTAAATTTGGTTTGAAAAAATGATAAAAGCAACTCTTGTCTATAACAAGGCCATAGAACTAAAATAACAGATGTGTTCTCCTAAAGTGCATGGTAAGAGTTTAAACTGAAACCTTTTAAATATTTTCTCAAGTCTGAAACTGAGGAGAGTCTAAAAGATCTGAATAGTTATTTTAGCTTTATTGTGCAAAAGAATGGACTTAGGTGAGATGTTTGACTTATGTTCCTGTGCCCTTATTACCCTTTTCAAACAATCTGTAGAAAGAAGATATGTCGAGCTGTGTGCTTATGTTGTTGAAGATTCATATTATTACAAAAAGCAAAGCCAGTCAAATGCAAATTAGGTTTTTATTACTTTTATAGCCTGACCAAGATATGCAGGCAATATGGTGGGGGGTATTGGGTGAGACAGGAAGGAAGAGGAGAAATGAATGTTATAAAGATATTTATTTTGCCAGTCTGCTTGTCTTGTTTTCAGTTTCCCCAATTTGTAAATAGATGAATTAGTGGAGAAACATATTATAGCTGATTATATTAGTGGGCTTCTAGTCTTCTAACTTATATAGTCATATCTCAAGTATTATTTATTTACTGTGTCTCCTCCATGACATAGTAACATATGGTGTCCCAAGGATGACACATTTTTAATGGAGAGCTTTTATAGAAATTCTTTTCTATTTGTTCCTTTTCTTCTTATTACATATAAGATTTTTCTGAAGAGAAAGGTGATAAGAGACAGCATTTGAAAGAGGCACCCAATAGAAAATAGTGCCTCTTCTTTGCCAGCACACCTGGGCTTCGTTTGAAAGGAATACTGTAACTAGTGCATGTGGGAAAACATTTAGTTTATTATAGAAGTGC